GAACAGGGAGTTTGCTGGAAAATATGAAAAAAATTAATGAAGAAGGAAATTAAGGTTCTTAGAAAATAACTTGATACGGTCAAGGGCTTCAAAGTGTTTCTGCCTTGAGCCCTAGTACTAATTCAGGAATCAGGAGTGTAGAAATCAAGTGCCAGGAATAGAAACCATTATTATCTGTGGCTGGAAACTGGTGGGACGAGAGGGCATGGTCACTGGCTGAAGAAGGCATGTGCATGCCAATATGCACTGGGTCGTCAGAAGTGGCAGCCTGCTGCTACATAACGTAATAAGCATAACTTGCAGGGGCCCCTACACATAGAGAGGTAAGCACTTGGAAAAAGAGGGCAGGGAAGAAGGAACCCACAGGACAGCCTGCTGCTACATAACGTAATAAGCATAACTTGCAGGGGCCCCTACACAGAGAGAGGTAAGCGCTTGGAAAAAGAGGGCAGGGAAGAAGGAACCCACAGGATGACAGGTTTTCTCTGTGTGGTTAGGATTGTGGAACATTTTTGTTCTGTGCCTTTTGATTCTCTTCCAGATTGTCTAAGGAGCTGTGGAAATAACCAAATGGAAACAGGCAGAGTCGGTGGAGGGCCTTCAACTGAAGCCAGGAGTTGGTCTCACTACTAGCAGAGTCTCAGGAAAAGTTTTGCAGTGGGGTAGCCCAGGATGACCTGACTGGAGGCTGCTGGCTAGGGAGGGGCAGGAGGAGCTGGCTAGCTGTGGACTTGTCCCGCAGGAGAAACGTGACCCTCACTCTGTAGTAACAAATTCAAGAGACTAACAAATGCAAAGCAATTTTTATTGGTTCTCCAGAAACAGAAATCAGCCGAGCAGAAATGGCTTGGCACACTGATTTGGCTGGCAGCAGTGGTTTTTAAAGTCTGGTCACAAAAATTCTTGCCTTCATTTTTTGATAGGCTAATGCTTCAGAGAGTTACCATCTCTGCACTCCAGCCCAGCAACCTCCCCAGATCCCCATCCCTTTGGCTCAGGATGCAAAGCCTTATCTAATACATGTCCTCGGGCTTGAGGTTCTCTCCTTTTCTGATGGTTGGCTCAGTCACAGAGTAGACTACCTGTAACTTTTTGGCCCCAGGGTGAACTGAGAGCACCTGGACAGGCTGGTGCCAGCTGCCAGCTAGGGAGGATGGGCCTGGTGCCACAGACTTCAGTGTACTTCTAAATCCCCCTCCTACTTGGGTTTCCGTGGTTTTTGTTTAATTAATTTTGTGTGTATATGTGACTTTTTTAACTGGGTTTAATCAGGGTTGCTTCTGTGAGCATGAGTGCTGGTTACTTACTAAAGTTCGGGCAGCCACCTACTAGTGGCTGCATCACTGAAGAACATGACCCCTCTCCTAGCAACCATTGACTGCTTGGAGCTCCTTAGAGAAAAGTCCTACCTCATAAGCCCCTCCCCTGACCTTGAAGGAATGTTGGTGGGGCCCCATCTTATGTAGATGGCCACTGCTGCTGTGAGTTCTTGAGCGCAGGGGCAGTGTCATGGCCTAAAGACATTATGTCATCCCCATTCTTTGGCTTTTATATTCTTTCTGACCCCTCTTCTTCAGTGTACCCTGTGTGTATGTGTGGGAGTGGGGGTAGAGATATTCGGTCTACAGCTGTACACTCAACAGTCCCCTATGCTCAGCATTTTGATCAATTGAGTTGTATTAAACATAGCCTGCTGCAAATAGAAGGTTCTTTGATGAAGGTTGAGAACAGCACAAATGTATGGATATGAACATAAATATTTAAAGAGTCATTTAGCAAAACAAAATAGTAGGCTCCCCCATAGGGTCTGTAACCTCCCAGCCATGGGATTATTTTTTGTTTTGTTTTGTTTTTTTGTCTTTGACCTGGCTTGTTTGGATCTCGTAGAGCTCTTCCTGCCTCTGCCTCTGCCTCACTAGTGCCAGAACTAAAGGTGTGTGCCACCATGGCCAGCCCAACCATTGGTTGTTTACTAGCTTTACAGTGCCAAGCATGAATCTCCTCCTTGGAGCAGGCCTCAGACCCACTCATGAAGTGGTTGATGACTCCCACAGTCATGCCACTATTGCATCAGTGGGCCCATCTTGCCTGACAGATTCGTTTCTAATTTTGTTTGCTTGTTTGTTTTGAGACAGGGTCTCCCTGTAGTCTCAGCTGGCTTGGAACTTACTATGCAGACCAGGCTGGCCTAGATCTCAGAGATGCACTTGCCTCTGCCTCCTGAGTGCTGGTATTAAAGGCTTGCTTACAGATTGGTATTGTAGCTGGGTAAGACCGTTGATAACTTTACTTGATCAACCTGCAAAACACCACGAAAGCCAGAGGGGAAGAAGCTGCCCGCTCAGGAGCCTGCCTACTGTATTTCTATTCCCCGCCCCCGTTAGTCAAACTGTTTCTTCCCTGGGACTAACTTGCTCTCTGGTGGGGTCATCGTCCAGATTTCCAGTCAGGGAGGGCAGCCAAGAGTTCGCTCTGAAAACTAGGGCTTAATTCATTCATGTTAGCTAGTTTGGTTTGAGACCGAGTTAAAGCACAAGGGTTAGAATTTTAGAAACAGCCCAGAAATGACTTGCCGAAGGGGCACCTGGGGGCTAATTTTTTTTCCAATACAAAGTTTCTTAATACAGTTTGACATAACAATCCTCGTTTATGCCAATGACTTTAATAGTGTAATTGGTTTAATTTTCTTTAAAGGCATAGTGGCACATAATCCATCTGGATGCTAAGGCAGAAGAATCTCAAGTTAGAAGATAGCCTGAGGCAACAGAGATCTTGTCTCAAACCCCTCTCCTGCCAAGTTTCTGTAATGCACATCTGTATTAGTTCCTTGTCTGTTGCTGTGATAGAATACCATCACAAAAAGCAACTTAGTGGGAAAAGACTTTATTTTGGCCTTGGCTCCAGAGGGTTACAGTCCATCATGCAAGGAAGGCATGGCAACAGGTGTGGGAGGCCAGGTTAGTCGGGAAACAGCACACTTCCTTGTGCACACAGGAAGCAAGTGGAAGTAGGGCCAAGCTATAAAACCTCAAAGCCTGCCCAAATGATCTACATCCTCCAGCGAGGCTCCACCTCCTCAAGGTTCAGTGATTCACCAAACAGCACCACCAGCTGGTGACCAAGTGTTCAAACATGAGTCCGGCCAGGTTAGTCGGGAAACAGCACACTTCCTTGTGCACACAGGAAGCAAGTACCAAACGGCACCACCAGCTGGTGACCAAGTGTTCAAACATGAGTCTATAGGGGACAGTCATTCAAACCACAACAGAACTTTAAACAAAAAGACAATTTTGAGCTGGAGAGATGGTTCAGCAAGTAAGAGCTCTGGCTGTTCTTGTAGAAGACCTGGGTTTGAATCCCAGCACCCACATGGTGGCTAACAGCTACCCCTAATTCCTGTTCCAGGGGTCTGGTGGACCTCTTCTGTTCTCCACAGGCACAGCACAACGTGGGTGCACTTACACACAGGCAATATAGTCATACACATAAGAATATATATATATTTTTTAATTAAAAGAACTTGAATATTCAGCAGAAGCAATTTAGATTGTGTGATCACACGGCGGGGGTGGAGGGCAAAGGCTGGTGTCAGTTGTCTAACTCAATTACTCAGTTGAGGCAGGGTTTCTCACTTGAACTCAGAACCAGCTTGCTCTGACCTTAGAGGTGTGTCGCCATGCCTGCTCAGCCTTTATGAGTTGTGGGCATCCAGCGCTGGCCCTCACATGTGTGGCAAGCACTAAACCCACTGAGCCATCTCCCCAGCCCCTTGAGACACGCTCTCAGTTCTTTGGTGGTGAACTTCTTTCCTTCATTGTAGACTAGGTGATTGCTGGTGTGGACAGCATGAGGGGGTGGCGTGAATAGCAACACCCACCTGCTCCTCTGTAGGGAAAATAAGCCAGAGACTAAGTCTGTTAGTGTTTATTTTGAATTTAGAATTACTTCGTAGGAAGCTATAGATAAGCATTAGGGGACCATGAGTGCCTGTCCTCCCCAGGTTGGCATGAGGCTGTGGGGAGCTAGGCTTCGTGGCCAGTACAGCTGTTCCCACCTGAGGATTCATGTGCCCGCCCTTTTATAAGCGTTAGAGAATGAAGTAGCCAGGATGTGGCCTCTGGAGATTGGCTTTTCTCTTGTGCATAGTGCCCTTGGGGAGCCTCTTCAGCCATTCCCCCAGCTGAAAGAGATTGCTTCCAGTTGGGACTGCTGTGAGCAGAGTGCTGTGAACATTCTTGTACAAGTTTTTGCATGAACCTTGGCTCTCATCTCCTTGAATACTGAAGAAGTCACTCACGTAATATTTAAGAGTGCTGACTGGGCACGCCTTTGATCCTAGCACAGGGAGGCAGAGGCAGGTGGATCTTTCCTGAGTTGGAGGCTAGCCTTGTCAACATACTGAGTTATAGGCCAGCTAGGGCTACATAGTCAGGCCTTGTTTAAAAAACAAAAACAAACATAGTGCTAACGGGCATGGGAGGTAATCTGTGACACCAAAGGAAAATTCAGAAAAGGGTGGTCTTTTTTTTTTTTTTTTTTGTCTACAAGGAGCCTGAAAGAAGGTAGAGAGGTAGTTTGGTGGTTAAGAACACTTACAGAGGACCCCAGGTTCAGTTTCCATTACCCACATGGTGGCTCACAACTACCTGTAACTCCAGTTCCAGGGTATCTGGCAGCCTCTTCCGAACTCTGGTAAACACATATACACATAAAAGAAAAAGAAAACTGCCCGATATTCAAGCGTGAGATGGATAATGGCCTTGCCTTGTGTTCTAGAAAGAATAGTCATTTCTAGGATGTTGGTTGTGTGCCACAGCCTGCTAGTCCTGTGCCCTGAGCTATCTTCTGCAGCTCTAGCCTCCAGCTTGTGACCCAGGGGACCTGTAAGACAGATGAGCTGTGCCTGCGGGGATCAGACACATAGCAGCTGGACAGACCTGCCCTTTGGGGGGTCGGGTTAGTATGGGCCTTGGTATTCTGGGTGGCCAGGCTACAGTCACAGGGATCCTGCCAGGACCATGACCCTTCTGAGGATACAGATGTAGGTCTAGGCAATACCTGTTAGCTTCAAGGGAACGTAACCATTGCCTTTCTGGCAGTGCCATTTTCCAGTGGTACCGTAAATGACAATACGTTTGTTAATAAGCCCATGTGGAGAAGAACCAACCTGTTTGAAAAGGATAAGTAGCTTTATCACCACTAAGAATTCCACTAAGTCTGTTTCGCAGAGTGTGGCTCTGTGGAGGTTGTGCAGCCTGCTGTGCATGTGCTGGGCTGTGCGTGCACTGAGTTTCACCACAGAGTCCTCTTCACAGGCACCAGTTCTTGGACTTGGGTAGATTTTCATCCTCTTTGAAAATGTATTTCTTTGGACGTATTGATGCGTTCTTTTAATCCCAGCACTGAGGAGGCTCAGGCAGGAGGGTCACCGGTTCAGGGCCAGCCTAGACTTTGTAGCAAGACACTGTCTCAAAGCAGCAGTAGAACCATAAGCAAATAACATTTATCTACGGATGAAAATTGTGCTACGACTTAGATAAGCTTTGTTGTCTGTGACAACATGACTGTGCCTGTGCCACAACACAGCCAGCTTGCTAGGTCGTGTTTCTAGCACACGTGTGTCATTGCTTCTCTACCAGTCAGAAATGGTCCTGGGTACTGTCAGCCAGGATGCTGAGCTGTGCTAAATGCTGTCTTGGTTCCCACAGGACACGATGTTTGCACGAGGGCTGAAGAGGAAATATGGTGACCAAGAGGAAGGCACGGAGAGCTTTGGCACTGTGCCTTCCTATAGCCTGCAGCGGCAGTCTCTCCTGGACATGTCCCTTGTCAAACTCCAGCTCTGCCACATGCTGGTGGAGCCCAATCTCTGTCGCTCAGTCCTCATTGCCAACACAGTGCGGCAGATCCAGGAGGAGATGAGCCGGGACGGCATGTGGCACGGGATGGCACCCCAGAATGCAGAACGGGCACCATTTGACCGCCTGGTGTCTACAGAGATCCTGTGTCGCACAGCAAAGGGGCCTGAGGGGGTGCACTCCACTCCCGAACTGGAAGATGGCCCCTTGCAGGGAGCAGCTTCTGAATTTCCTATGGTCAGCTCAGCACAGGGGCCGAGGAACCCTCAGAGCAGTCTTTGGGAGATGGACAGCCCTCAAGAAAACAAGGGGAACTTTCAGAAGTCCCTGGACCAGATATTTGAGACCCTGGAGAACAAAAACCCCAGTTCTGTGGAGGAGCTTTTCTCAGATGTGGACAGTTCCTACTACGACCTGGACACAGTGCTGACAGGTATGATGAGCGGCAGCAAGCCGGGCCTCTGCAGCGGGCTGGAGGGCTTTGCTGCAGCCACCCCGTCTCCCGGTACCACCTGCAAGTCTGACCTGGCTGAGCTGGACCATGTGGTAGAGATTTTGGTGGAGACCTGATGGAAGGCCCTTGATGGGAAGCCCTTGATGGGAAGCCCTTGATGGGCCAGTGACAGGGCCACACAGATTTTGGTGGAGACCTGATGGAAGGCCCTTGATGGGAAGCCCTTGATGGGCCAGTGACAGGGCCACATACCCCAGAGAACTCACGTGTACTGTGACCTGCAGAGACACAAGGGCTTGTCCTAACAGGTGCTCTGAGGCCCTGCAGCGGGTGGCCCAGCCCTGCCCTGTTGTCTGTTGATTGAGACAGTACCCGGGGACAGGTGATCATCAGCAAGCTTGCAGCCCCAGGGCCTGTCCCACTCCCCAAGGATGGCAGAGCGGATGCCGTCACCAGGAACTGAGCACTCTGAAGGCTTCTAGACCCTGACCTGGTGATGTCCCACAGCCCCGGGTTTTGCTTGAGCCAGGCTGGGACCATCGCGGAGGATGGAGAGCTGCAGCTGTGTCTAACCCTGTTAAAATTAGATAGCTGAACGTTGTAAAATTAAGTTTTATATGTTTTGGGCAGTATTTTGTCTTAAGATATATTTTTTAAACTTTTTATACTTTAGATTTTTTCAGCTATTTTCTTAAAAAAATATTTTTTCTACAAACATCTTCTGCTGCTACATTCGAAACTTTTATAGCCTAAATAATTACAATTGGTGTGTGTCATTTTTAAAAAACTATTGAATTTTTGTGTATCTCATGTACAACATCTTAATCACCTTTAGCCCCTCCCTCTCAGCAGCTTCTCCCCCCCCCAATTTCATGCATTCTGTCATTTATGTTAAGGCCTATCCAGTCAAGATAGTGTACCCTGACATCCTTCAGCGGAAGTTCATCCACTGGGGTTTGGTCAGCTTGTCTAGAGTCCCTCCCTTCAAGATCAGCTCTTCCCCACCCAGCAGTAATCAGCTGCCAATAGTCCTTTGGCTAAGGTTGGGGCCTGCTGTTCATTTCCACAGTTCTGTGCTGGGTTTTTGTCTGCTTGAGTTTGCATGGGTCTTGTGCATGCTGACACCACTGCTGTAGGTTCATAGGCACAAGGTCCCAGGAGCCTGTAAGACTGTATCCGTATGGTCATTGCACCTCCTCCCATGGTTCTTACAACCTTTCTGCCCCCTCTTCCGCAATGGTCCTTGATCCTGGGTGGGTGAAGTTTAATAGGAGAGTTCTGTCTAGGAGATGTCTGCAATTTTTTAAGGTTTTAAATTGAGGACTTTTTTGCCTCTCCTATGGTTGGTTGGTTGGTTGAATGGCCTGTGGTGGTCTTCAGCCCAAGCTTTTGGGCTGGGTAACAGCTTTGTTGGGTTAGTTTGTAGGCCAAGCTTGTCAAACTGTCCCGAAGGTTGGTGCTCCTTTGGTTTTTTTCGGAGGTGATTTCTCAGGTGCAGTTGAGGTTGGTTCCCAGTGTAATGGTTGCAATATGGTTGATGGTGCAACTTTGGATTTCGAGGCCTTTGTTCTGACCTAGGGTGGAAGGAGAGTCTCTAGTCTTCTCAGTTTTCTCCACTTTAGCAACTGTTAACGTTCCCATCAAGTGCATCAAGACAGTAAATTGAGCCCAGAGGTGATGTGAGAGGTGGTCCTCAAGGACGCTGCTCCGCGGATTGTGCCTTCCTGGCACCTTCAGTCCTGTTGCTGCCCTCCATCCGTCACACCTCATTCAGTTCTTCTCTTGCCCGACTCAATACTACTTCATCGCTGCTCGGGACCTATTTTTCTCCACTTTAGCAACTGTTAACGTTCCCATCAAGTGCATCAAGACAGTCGTTCACACTTTTAAATTGAGCCCAGAGGTGATGTGAGAGGTGGTCCTCAAGGATGCTGCTCCGCGGATTGTGCCTTCGTGGCACCTTCAGTCCTGTTGCTGCCCTCCATCCGTTACACCTCATTCAGTTCTTCTCTTGCCCGACTCAATACTACTTCATCACTGCTCGGGATCTAGCGATCCTCGGCTCTCCCATCATCTCTCCCCTCGGGGCATGCCCTCTCAACTCTGCTCTTCGCTGAAGGTCCTCCGGCTGTGCTTTCCTCTTTGGGTTGCTTGGTTTGACTTGGCTTCTGGTCTGGGTCTGAGTGGCAGATGTATCCTGTTTTTCTAGAATCGGTGCTGCTGCTCCCTTAGAGCGTTGGTCAGCCCGTCAACCAGACTGACTTCAGCAGAAAGGTATCAGGAACAGAGCAAGTGAAGGTCTTGGCCAGCCACTGCAGAGGCGGTCTGTCTTCAGCTCTGCAGAGTCTGCTCCTGGTAGCCCTCGTTTCTTCTGTCTCCTTGTTTGACAGTATTGATGTGGACTCCTTATTTGGTCTGTGATTTCTGAAGGTCCCATCCATTCATCTCTTCCTGTGTTTGCCACCTTATGAAGGTTAGGAAAATTTCCAGGGGCAACAGCCTCGTGTCAGTCTAGTTGAAGCACTTTACACACTGAAGTTCTTTCTGTGCTGCTCTTCGAGTCCATTTGTAAAATGTACCAGCTTCAGCTCTGATCCCAGAAGCAGCGAAGCCAGAGCTAGCCCATCTGTGGTGAATGAGTGCATAGCAATGGGGCTGCTCATCACTGAGCAGGTAGCAAATAGTTGAGTTGATTGAATGCTTTTCCGGAAGGCCCAAGGTCAGTGCCACTCGCATTGTCAGCTAAGAAGTGTGAGGGTCTGTGTGTCTTGTCTTTGTTACCAGCCATTGTGCGGCCTAGTGAAACCCCTCTCTGAATATTGGAATTAGGTCGGTTTGTGGTGGTAGCATCCCAGGCCTCCCTCTAGCAAACAGCATTGAATGGTCTTCCTATCTGTTGAAGAAGATTCTGCTGTGGTCTTAGAACAATGTACATTGTAACCCCCAGTGCCATCTTAACAATTTGGTTCTTCTGCTCATTAGTCAGTTCCACGTCACCTTCGGTCCAAGGTGCGGCCTCCCCTGAGGATCAGCCAGTTCCACGATGAAGTGATCAGTGGACCCTCAGGCTGTAAAGATCAGGGCTGCCAGGATTGCGGTGACCCTGGGCTGCCCAGAGTGGCTGGGATCACAGCAGTGCATTGCACCGATGGCATCGTCTTCAGGAGGAAGGAACACAACCACAACCCTTTTCTCTCCTGAACCAATCTCCAAAGGAGGTGACATTGTGCCATCGGCTGTGATGTCATTGTCTTAAATTGAGTTTTTTTGTATTGAGCGTCTCTATGCCCCCAAGGCAGCAGTGCAAATGGGCTGGGCGTTCACATTGGGTGGCACATCCTCCCTGTGTCCTGTGGTCCAGGAGACGTTAAAATAAGAACTGGGACAACCACTGGACTTCTCATAGGTCTTCCCTGCAAGCCATGTCTTCCAGGCTACTGTGTGATGATGGTTCTAGTTATGCCTATTTATATGCAAATGCCACTGAAGGCAAAGGTCAAAAGTCTGGAAATCACAGCACTGATAGCAGCTGAGCCTCAGATTCTGGGGTCTCATCACAGGCAGTGCCTGCTAGGTCCTGGTCAGGGCCCATCCTGTCTGGTTCCCAGCACAACATGGTGGGTAGCACAACATGCTGACAACACCCAGCACAGTGTGCTCCATGCCACATGTGTACATGGAGCTTGCTGGGTATCAGGCAACCAGGCATATGTGTTCTTTTTCTTGTTTGTCGGGGGGGTACAGGTGGGATTGTTGGGGAATTTTCTAATTTTCTTTTCTCTCTTTTTTTTTTTTTTGAGACAGGGTCTCCTTGTAGCCCCAGCTGGCCTGGAACTTGCTATGTAGACCAGGCTGGCCTTGATCTCAGAGATGGTCTCTCTCTGCCTCCCCAGTGCTGGGATTAAACTTGTGCACCACCATGCCCAGTTTCATGTGCAGACTTAGGGTGTCCAGGTGGAAAATACCTGTGCCTGCTCTGTTAAATTGGTGCTAGAACATTTTGAGTCTAGAATGAAAAAAAGTCTTCATGTAATTTTAGGGCCCCATAAGCCTGTGCTGGCTGCTTGGACCTCCAGGTCCTGCCTGATCATGTCAGACTCCTCCCCTGTCTCCCCATGTACATGTTTCCTGTTTCTGGTATGCTTTTTTTCTGACTTCCCCACCTGTGGAAGGGGAAAGGCCTGGAAGGGCTTCTCTTGTGTATGACTATTCTTTAATATCAACAGTGTAAACCTCACTTTATTAAATGTATCCTGCAAAAAAAAAAAAAAATGGAACATGTGAATTTTCTACCATGTCTTAATTCTTGAGTGGATTTCTTTACCCTAGGCTTGTGTGGTCTGAATTCTCTCTGGGTCTCCTGCGTGATCAGACCATAAAATACATTTTATGTGAGTTTATTAACTTACAAGGAATGAGTACCCAGTGCACCACCTCGACTCCAAGCCCGCCTTATCAGACTGCCACACGTCCATAGCCCCCCCTCCCCCCCCAGCATTCCCTCACGCCTCCGGGGCCAGCGATCTCTCCCCAGGTCCACAGGGAGTCAGTCCATTCTGAGTTGCTGCGCCAGCTGCGAGTTTCCTACAACATCTACCGGGGCTCCTGGTTTCCCGTCCTAGTTCCCTCTCCGGTCAGGCCTCACCCATTGGAGGAAACTGCCAATCGATTGATCGGGAGACAGTTAACTTCAGTCTGTCATAACTTACAGGGTAGGTGAAGAACTTCTCTTTGATGTGTTAAACAGGCAATGGGTTTATTTTCCTCACCTCATGGCATTCCAAATCAAGACTTCCACTACCTCAAGGCCCTGTGGCCTCCCCTAGGCTTGAGGGCTCCGGCACAGGGTCCCAGGGCTTTGGGCAGCACTCTACTAGTACAGGCTGACTGAGCCCCAGGTCCATACTGTGGATGATCTCGAAAGGACTTTTTTAGGTTAAAAGGAATGTTTGTACCTAGGACAGCAGATTTTTTTTTTTTCTTTTAAGGAAGGAGGGGCAAATGTGTGTCACAGCATGCATGTGGAGGTATGAAGTCAATTTGGGAGAGTCAGCTGTTTACCTCCAGCATGTGGGCCCAGAGATGTAGCTCAGGTCAGTCTGGGTTACAGATGTATCAGGCGAGGCCTGTGATAGGGTGGATTGGCCAGTGCATCTCTTGAGTAGCCACGTGGCCAGTAGCAGAGCAAGAGACTGGGAAACCTGAAGGGCAGCTGCAAGGCCAGGACAAGCCCTGGAAACACGTGCTGGGGTGCAGATACGGGCTAGCATGTGGGCCCAGAGATGTAGCTCAGGTCAGTCTGGGTTACAGATGTATCAGGCGAGGCCTGTGATAGGGTGGATTGGCCAGTGCATCTCTTGAGTAGCCACGTGGCCAGTAGCAGAGCAAGAGACTGGGAAACCTGAAGGGCAGCTGCAAGGCCAGGACAAGCCCTGGAAACACGTGCTGGGGTGCAGATACGGGCTTGGGGCCGCTCCCGGCCCCCCAGACCTCAGGCTGACACTCCGGCTGAGCTGAGACTTTGTAAAACGTCCCTGTCCAGTAACTTTTCTCCTTCCTGCTCTGTCTGACCCGCCCTCACTCTTCAGGGTCTCCCACTCCTGACTCAGGTAGACAAACCAACATAACACATCTTTATCTGAATTTTGCCTAGTTTATACCTTGGGGGGCGTGTGATTTACAAAGAAATGGACACCCCGCACCCAGCGCCATGCTGTAGCTCAGCGGCCCGCCATTCCAGATCGCTTTTACCCACCGTCTGCCTCATCTCATCCCCGAGTGCCCACGGAGTTCATGGCAGGCTGGCTCACCCACTCCTGTTCCCTGCTTCCAAAAATGGCACCAACTCCTTTTCCATTCCAACCTCGGCCAGGCTAGGCTCCACCCCTCTTCCCAGGGTGCCCTGTGCTTACCCTGCGCTTGTCATTTCCGGGCTACAGCCCCAAATGTGCAGACGGGCTGTGCAAGATTGGGCTCATCGCATGGATGCGGAGGCGCAGGAGGTCCTTCCCCCTTCCTCAGGGCTGTTGGAGCATCATTCTCGTCAGTGCTGTAAGATGACGTGCCCATGCTCCAACACCTCCCAACCTAAGTAATGCAGCGGATCACATACAAGAAGACCCGGGGTAGGAGAGGGACCTAGGAAGCAGGGTTTCCGTGGGGGAGGGAGGAGGGAGTAGGGGATGAAAATGACATAAAACTTGCCAATTTTTTTAAGGTCCCAAATGTCTCAACTGCACTGCGCACCTGTCCTTCAGCCCCCTCCTGACTTCCTATTCAATTTGGTCCTTTAGTTACGTGGATATCCTGCCCTAAGAGGTCAGAAAGGTCATGTGGGGGTGTTTCATGGTGGCTCCTGGGCACCTGTGAGCTGAGCTGAACACTGCCCACCAGGGTTTAGGACAGATGTTTGGCTGTGGCAGATGTGCCAGTATTCTGCCGCTGTCTGCCATCTACAGACTTCCTTCTACTGGTCCATGTGAGCTGCCTCTGCTTACCAATGTGGCAAAGTGGACTGCAAGACACTGACCAGGTAAGGGCTCCTGCTGCCCCCAGGGCCGAACCAAGCCTGACACCCGGCGGCCAGCCCCCAGGAGGCTCTGCCAAGGCCCCACCCTACCCTTCAGTCTGGGCCCAAGCCACTAAGCAGGACAAGCCATGGTGCTGAGGGCAGGACAAGGAACAGTGGTCCTCAAAGCAGAGCCCACGGCCAAATGAGCCTTGGTACCTCTTTGCCTTCTGTGGCCAGAGGCTGAGTGGGGCTGGGGTCATGGCTCCTATCTGTCTGTGCCAAAGGCCAGTCCCTGGTGAGGAAGGGGGTAGAAACATCCTCCCTGGCTGGCCAGTCCTGCTGTGGGGGGTGAGTGGAAGTGGGGGTTCCCTGCTTCCAAAAATGGCACCAACTCCTTTTCCATTCCAACCTCGGCCAGGCTAGGCTCCACCCCTCTTCCCAGGGTGCCCTGTGCTTACCCTGCGCTTGTCATTTCCGGGCTACAGCCCCAAATGTGCAGACGGGCTGTGCGAGATTGGGCTCATCGCATGGATGCGGAGGCGCGGGAGGTCCTTCCCCTTCCTCAGGGCTGTTGGAGCGTCATTCTCGTCAGTGCTGTAAGATGACGTGCCCATGCTCCAACACCTCCCAACCTAAGTAATGCAGCGGATCACATACAAGAAGACCCGGGGTAGGAGAGGGACCTAGGAAGCAGGGTTTCCGTGGGGGAGGGAGGAGGGAGTAGGGGATGAAAATGACATAAAACTTGCCAATTTTTTTAAGGTCCCAAATGTCTCAACTGCACTGCGCACCTGTCCTTCAGCCCCCTCCTGACTTCCTATTCAATTTGGTCCTTTAGTTACGTGGATATCCTGCCCTAAGAGGTCAGAAAGGTCATGTGGGGGTGTTTCATGGTGGCTCCTGGGCACCTGTGAGCTGAGCTGAACACTGCCCACCAGGGTTTAGGACAGATGTTTGGCTGTGGCAGATGTGCCAGTATTCTGCCGCTGTCTGCCATCTACAGACTTCCTTCTACTGGTCCATGTGAGCTGCCTCTGCTTACCAATGTGGCAAAGTGGACTGCAAGACACTGACCAGGTAAGGGCTCCTGCTGCCCCCAGGGCCGAACCAAGCCTGACACCCGGCGGCCAGCCCCCAGGAGGCTCTGCCAAGGCCCCACCCTACCCTTCAGTCTGGGCCCAAGCCACTAAGCAGGACAAGCCATGGTGCTGAGGGCAGGACAAGGAACAGTTTGATGTCTTGATGGGCCTTCTGTCTCGAGCCTCTGCATGCTTTGCTGGCACCCCATCTCCACCCAGCCCCCACTAACTGCCCTCTCATCCTCCAGGAGTTCCCCTTAAGACTCCACTGAGACCATGGGGTGCTTGTCTCTGCACCTGACTTTTCATATAATGTCCAGGTTCATCCATGTTGATATAGTGATAGGATTCATCTTTTTATGGATGGACAGTCGTCTTTATCCAGTCATCCACTGCTGGGCAATCCAGCTGACAGTCTTGGCTGTTGTGAACAGGGCTGTGGTGAATGTAAGGCAGATGCCTCTTCCACAGATCCCATTTCCTTTGGATAAGCACCCAGTAGTGGGACTGCAGGTTCACATGGTAGTTTTTAATTTGGGGGGAACTTTACACCGTTTCCCACAATAGTCGTGCTGATTTACGTCTCAGCATGTCCTTACCACCACTCATCTCTGTGTGGTAACAGCTGTTCTGACAAGTGTGGAGGCGCTGCACTGAGCTTTACTGTGTTCTGACAGTTATAGGTGCTGAGTAGTTCCTTCATATGCTGTTGGCCATTTGCACATTTTTTGAGAAGCATTAAGAATTTAGCCAGGTGTGGTGGCACACACCTTTAATTCCAGCATGAGGGAGGCAGGGACTGGCGGATCTCTGTGAGATCGAGGCCAGCATGGTCTACACAGCAAGTTCCAGGCCAGCTGGGGCTACAGGGAGACTGTCTCAAAAAAAAAAAACAAAAAAAACAAAACACTTATATGTGTGTTAGTGTTTTGTCTGCATATATATAAGTGCACCACTGCATACAATGGGGTTCCAGCAGGGGGGAGGCGGGAGCTGCGGGACTTCTGTGGGACGGAGGCCAGCAGGGTCTACACAGCAAGTTCCAGGCCAGCTGGGGTTACGGGGAGACGGTCTCAAAAAAAAAAAACAAAAAAAACAAAACACTTATATGTGTGTTAGTTCAGTGGTTAAGAGTGCTTGGTCCTTTTCCAGAAGTCCTTTTGCCCATATTATGTGGCTTATAACCACCTATAACTCCAGTTGCAGGGGGGCCAGTGCCCTCTTCTGGCCTCTGA